TCTGCGTGTCCCCCGGAGGTGTCCCGCCTGCCCGAGAGCGAGGCAGGATCGGGACGGGTTCTCTCGTCCCTTCCGCCCGCAGCTCCGCAGCCGCTCCGGCTCCCGAGCCCGGCGGGGAGGCGCGGCGGGGCACTGCCCGCCCAGGCGCAGTTTGCCAGCGGAGACATCCGTAGTGCCGTGCCCCGCGGCCCTGCTTGTCATGCAGAGGAGGCTGCTGTGCTGCAGCCCCGGCACGTGTCCCAGCCCGGCTGCATTGACGCACCGGCTCTGCGCGTGTGTCTGTCTGTGCATGACGCGCCGAGTGTGAGATCTGCGTGAGCCGGCTGCGTGCTGTGCGGCGTTTGCACAGTTTATGCTTGGGAAGGCAAAGAACAGCAATTTTTCATGAGCAAATATTTGCATATTTTCCACTCGTTCGAGCAGATAAAGCATTTCACTTCTCTGTTGGATCCTCAGGAGAGAGCTAGGAGCATCTTCTTTTTAAAGATGTTTCCCTTTTTTGTATTCCCCTGTCTCTTTTCTCTGGAGGCTACTCCGTTACAACAACGCTTCCTGCCCCCTGCACACACCCCCTGTATAACAGCAGAAAGCAGAACATGGCCTGGACAGTTTTGCTGTTGCCTGAGCTGAGCTGCTGTGATTCCCTGCTGATGACAAGCACAGCGGCTCCCTAACACAGCTTCAAATGACACTATGTGTGGGCTGTGTTGGCAACAGCCTGGAAACACACCCTGGCTTCTCCACACTGGAGCCCCTCTGCCATCACCGTTCACTGCCCTTCCAGTTTTCCTCCTGAAGATCCACTGCAGAGCAGAAAGGTCACGCTGAACAGGTCTGCAGCTGCCCCAGACCACCGCTGTGTGGTTGGGTTTGGTGGGTGGGTGCGTGTGGAGGGTCCTTGGCAAGGTGTAGATGCCCTCTCCCAGCCTGAGCCTGTGTGCATCGAGGTGAATGTGCCACGTTCTTGGCCCCCGTGCTTTGGCTGGGGTCTGGGACACGCAGGTCTGGGTGTATGGGCACCTGTGTGGGTGGCCCCATATGCTGTCAGGCACACATATATCTGCTTGAATCCGTGTGTGACATGGATGTCTGTGTGTTTACACACATCCACCCAGTGGCACACACACACACACACACACACACACACACACACATGCAGTCATGCAATAAACACTCATTTGCATGCATGCACATACAGCACATACAAATGCCTCTCTGTCTGCTCTTGTGCAGAGACCTGGTGTGAGCACGAGCTCTCTGACAGAATGGGTTCCCCGTGTTTCTATCACCCCATCTGTAATTACACATTTGCTGGGAAGAGGATTGCACAATGCTGCTGAAATCATTGCAGCCCTTTCTAGTCTTGCAGCTATGATCACTACGTGACAAGAATGAAACCTTTTGTGCAGCACAGGGCTTGATGGAGCCCTTATCTCTGTGTCTCTGCACACAGAACAGAAAAACTCTTTTCCATATCTGACTGGAGCAAATCCCCCCTGAACATGTCCAGACTTTTATTTAGCCACTGCACATGGTCCCCATGGCCTCTGGGTTGCCCAGAGTCAACCACACCATCGTTAAGGAGAGGGAACACAAGGGCAGTCAGATTAATGCCATTACCACAGAAAACTCTGGGGATTCACCAACAGGAAGACAGCGCTGAGGAAAGAGAAGGGGTCATGAGGCAGTGACCTCCTGACCATCATTCCAAATGCCTGTTCCTATGAAAAACAGCCTTTAAATCAGTGGTGATAGTTTGAAGAATTCTGTGGCATTTGTTTTCTCCTGATGAGTTTTGGACAAGAAATACCTTTCCCTTCCCCTCCCCCAGTCTTATTTTCTGTTCATCTTCATTTTTTATTTCCCCAATTTGTCACTGCAAAACAGGATACAGCCTAGGGGGGTGAAGAAAACACAAGACAGAAAAATGTGATGCTTGTGTCTCTTTTCTTTTAAACCCCTATTTAATCGAAAATCTCCATATCTATTTTTTTTCCCTGCAGATCTCCCTGGAACACATTTTGTTTGCCCCAGCAGGCTGCTCTGCAGAGCTGCCTTGGTGGGAGCTCAGATTCCGTGTGTCAAAATGATGTCTCCTTGGCACAATTGCTTGGAGCTGGCATTGCAGTGCTCGGGCTCTTAAGGAATGTTGGTATTTTAAGAAGCCAACCAGTCGACGGAGTTTCTTGAATGGTGATTTGCAGCAGATGGAGCTGCAAAGGCGTGTGAAATGAAGTCTCAGCTCAGTTTGGTGGTGAAGGAGACTGTCTCTGTTAAGTGTGTTGGCAGCTGGGAAGCTCCCCCCATCTCCCCTACGGCAGCTGGGCTGCCACTCCATGGATAAGGAAACCCATCCTACATCTGCCCCCCAGCCACCTGAGCTGCTCCCTGCGAGGTCCTTGCTCACAGTCATATGCCTTCTTCAGTGCCTGGTCATCAAGCACAAGCAGTGCTACAGGCTCCTCAGATAATACAATTTCTGCTCTGTCCTGCAGGGATTGCTCTGCTGGGGGAGTCCAGCATTCACCTGGCTCTGCTCTTCTCTGCAAGAGAAGCAACACAGACCGGAGTTTGAAGTGCTGTGTTGTCCATCTCTCTGATCATTTGGTAGCCAGCCCTTTTAATCTTTCTACCACTTGTTGCCCCTTATAGAGGCAGGAGCTTTGGCAGTCCATCCTTACTCTGCCAGGATTTCTTGGTTGTTTTCACCCAGTGGATGTTGCGGGAGCTCCCCAAGAAACTAAAACAGAGGCTTTTTTTAGTCCAGCAAACTGTATCCCACGCCCAATGAATAGTTTGGCTGATTTTTTCTGACTGGGGCCCACACTGTGGGAAGCATGGATTGAAGGAGAAAAAGATGTAAAGACATAGCAGAAGACAGAAACTGGCTACCAAGCTCTTTCTTTTCCCCGTGAGCTGAGCCTGCACTCCTGGGTGTCTGGCTGTCCCTGCTCAGGGGAGTGCTGCAAGGGCAGCTGAACAGTTCCTGTGTGGTCTGGCAGGCAGCTCAGGTCCCGAGGCTGAGCCGCAGGCATGGACAGCTTGGGACCAGCATTCCAGGCTTAAAGAGGAAACATGAAGATGTAGGATTTCAGGGGACAATCTTTGTCGTAGAGGTGATGGCAGTACCAGTGGCTGAGAGCACGGCTGCAGGTGTTTTGGCTGGTTGTGTCTGCCCACCCTTCCTCTGCTCTCTAACCTGGCTAGGAGGTGTCTGTTCACCTGAGGCCCTGTGACAGTCCTTTTCCACAGCTGGGTGCCCTGCACTGCAGTTCTGATGCCTGCCAGGCCTTCACGTCTTCTCACATTGCCTTTGTGTGACCTTAACTCTTGCTTCCTCATAAAGTGGTTCTGTTCCCACGATCCTCAGCTGCTGCAGCTTGTTCTGCTTCCCAGCTCAAGGCTTTTGGCTTCTGTCCCAGCACACCCCACCCCATGCCACCCCTTCCCTTCTCTTACCTTCTCTCAAGTGACCCGTGAGATATCTTTCCATTACCCAGCTAGCTCCCAGAACCCTAATCCCTCCACAAGTCACCTCCTGCAACATCTCCTGACCTCAGGGAGGCATGTGTCCTTCTGGTGGGTCCCTCCTTCCCATTTCTCAAAATTGTTTGTGGAGAACACTGCCCAAAGGGCTGCGGTATGAGGGCTGTTTTGGTGGCTGTAGCTTAGCAATGCCATTCATGCAGAAGTTAAAAGTGTGGGGACAGACATTTTAGGAGAGCTTCCGGAATGAAGCCAAAGTGGAGAGAGAGACTTTCATCCCACCCACCCTTGGACAGCGCTGCTCCTCTAGCCTGCACACTCAGATGGGCCCATGCACAACTTCTCTCCAACAACCAGTGTGCAGGAGCAAGCACTCATCCAACTCCACAGCAGCACACACGCTCTCCAACTCTTGTCCAAGCATTCACATCTGCACTTAAACATCCTGCAATTGCATAAGCACACTCCCTCATCTGTGTTTATGTATGCATACCCCTCTAGGTGTCCCTGTACCCATAGCCCCAGCAGATCAGTGCCCAGGACTGGCACCAGCCTCCCACCACCCCTGACTCCCCAGTCTCTGATCCTCTTCAGCCATCCCCATACATGTACAGTCTAGGGAACAAAGTTTTGCCTACTTTTCTGGCAAAACTACCTTTGTGCGCATGCAGACACATCATTTGTTGACCATCCTGAGCCAAAATACTCTACCACTTCCCAGAGGATAAATTGATTCCTAGTATTGCACAGACTCTTCACAAGCACAGCTCTCACTCACTGGAGATCCCCTGACCTTTGTCTGCTTCCTGCCCCCATCCTGAACTGAGAGACGTCTTCACCTCTTGTATCAGCCAAACATGACTCCATACAGAGACTGACTCAACTCAAAGACATTGTGTATTCTCAGGAGAGACAAATCCATAGCACCCCCCTCCCCTAAACATGTAGAATGGTTTTGCCCACCTGGCCTTCCAAGTCCAAAGGCTTTTTCTTTATTTACAGTAAAGCTTAAGGAGAAGAAAAGAAATGCAGCTCATGTTTCATTGCCTTCTTCTCTACCCTTGTTACACCTCCCACCAGGGCACAGAGGCACCAGGAGAACCCTGAGGAATGCAAGGTGCAGAAAAAAATGATTCCATTTTTTTTCTCTCAGGTAAGTCTTGACATCCTGCCCAGAGTCTGTAAGAGCTCTGAAAAGAAAGAGGAGGTTCTGAGCAGTCAGTGGTCTCCAGCCATGACCAAGACAGGCAGGAAATCTGTCCCCCAGACTTTTTGAAGAACTAGAGAGGGGCCAGCCATGCATGCAACTGGCTGGTTTGTCTTTGCTGCAGACATTTCTCCTTCCTGTTCATCTTTTAAGGTAAACCACTTCTCATAAGGAGGGTAGCCAAGGCACTAGGCTGCCTACATATGGCCTTTATGCCATCTGGGGACTTCCTTGAGGTGCCACCATGAGATGGCAGCCTATGCCCTCCAAAGCTGGGTCATCTAAGGGCAGGTCATGGCTCTAGGGCTGACCTTGCTCTCTCTGTACCCTCAGTGCCCATCACCTCTTCAGCTTTCCCTAAATGCAGTCTGCTCTTTACCTGGTGTTGCTTGGTTTGCTCCTGGTGGTGAATATGATGCTTATTCTTCAAAAGCCACTGGCCTATGGAACTGCGCAATGTTTATTCTGTTGGAAGAAGAACTCAAAACAACCGGCCCAGTTGTGCCAACTTTTACCAGTTCACCAGGAGTTCAGGTTTGACTTTGGGGTCATCAACCACTACCACGAGACTCCCAGGACAGAAGAACATGTGTAAAGGAGAGGGAAAATACATCAGTGATTTTGGGGAAATTAATATCATATGTATGTTTATTCTGGGAAAATCCATGAGCATGTATGTAAAATATAGTATATAAATGGGAGCTTTTTCTGTACTCAGCATGCATGATATTTGGAAGGGGATATTCACTCGTGCATCCAGCCAAATAAAGAATGCCTGCTTCTTAATGCTACATTAGTGTTAAGGAGGTTTTATTTTTACCAATTTCTGGTAACACTGGTACCACACAAACCTCAGGTGTCTCTTCCAAAGCCATGAACAATGCCTTGCTTCTTCCACAAGATCATGGAGCCCTATTAATCTTTAAGCATACTCTTGGACTTTATTATTCCCTTGTATCGATGTCTCCCATTGTCTTTGAAAGCAGAGAAGGTGAAGGGGATCCCATGTCCCGATGTCTCTTTCCCCTGCACCATCCCTTTCATCATAAATAACTGACATGCAATTTGTTGCTCTTTTCACATCCCGCAGGCTCCTCAGGGAGCGGTTTTTGCTCATTGCTTTTTCCTTCTCCGCTGCTTAGAGGGCGCTCCTGCCTCTCATTTCCGTTTTGGGTGATCTTGCTGATCTCACCCTCTTCCCTTTCTTCATCAATCTTCTCTGGGGGGCATGCTGGCACCTCCTGGCTCTGGACTCGGCGGGACGGCCTGAAGATGGCCCTGCGGAAGCCCTGCTTGAAGCGGTAGGAGAGGAAGCCATAGATGATGGGATTGGCGCAGCTGTTGGCATACGGCAGCACCACCACGAGGAAGTAGACTCCAAAGAGGGACGGCTCCTCTGGCAGCGGGCAGACAACATTGATTATGTTGAGGACGTAGAAGGGAAGCCAGCAGAGGACGAAGACAGCCACCACAGTCACCACCATGCGGGTCACTCTGCGCTCTGAAAGCTTGTGCTTGGAGGACAGAGCCCTCACCCGCCTGCCAGAGGAGCGAACCTTCACAACAATCAGGAGATAGCAGAGGCAAATCACCAAGAGTGGTCCAAAGAAGCCCAGGGTAGCAGTGTAGACAATGAAGCCAGCTCTCCACACCGAGGCAGGCTCTGGCCACTGGATGTGGCATGTACTCATCCCTAAAGGGACATCTGAGAAGACAACCACGGGCAGCACCACTATGGAAGACAGCACCCACATGGTTACACTCACAGCCTTGGCCACCCTTGCTGTCCTCCATTTGGAAGACTTCCCTGGGTGGACCACAGCCAGGTAGCGGTCAACGCTCATCACCGTCAGGCAGAAGATGCTGGTGAACTGGTTGATGGCATCCACGGCCATCACCAGGCGGCACATGAAAGAACCAAATGGCCAGTAGGACAGGGCGTTCTGCGCAGCCAGGAAGGGCAGGCCCAGCATGAAGAGCTCGTCGGCCAGGGCCAGGTTCAAGATGTACACGTTGGTCACCGACTCGCTCACGGAGTGCCGCAGGACCACATAAATGACCAGGGAATTCCCAGCCAGCCCCACCACACAGACAATGAGGTAGACCACAGGGATGAGGACACCGCTGACAACTACACCAGGGCTGTCGGTGGAGGAGCTGTTGGGGGTAGTGAAGCCTGCCCAGCTACTGGAGGCATTCCCCTCCTCCAACACTGCCGGCGTGGGGAGGCTAAAAGCAGAAGTGTCCATAGCAGAGGCAGGGAAGAGGGCAGGGGGCAGTGTCCTTGCAGGATCAGTTAGCAATCTGGAGCTGAGGGGAGGAGAAAAAAACATTGATACTGGGGACATGACAGCTGAACAAGCCACAGGTAAAATCACCACATTAACTGTGTCTTAGGTATGGGCAGGCACGGGAAATCAAGGGGAGTTTGTGGATGCTAGCAGATGCTGGAAGGTCTAGGACAATATCAAACTCATCTAGTCCTGCAAGGCACAGTGGACATGGAGGGACAAACAGGGACATGGCTCAATGTGGGCCTCTCCTCTAGTGAAAGATCCTCTGGGGAAAGAATAACAGACTAGCATAAGGACAGGGAAAGTTTTCATTATCTGCTAAGAATCCCATGCTGAGGACATGGTCACCAGGGGCCTGGTTCTCATTTATGAGTGGCAGGTGCTTTACAAACAAAAGAGGGAAAAGCATCCAGTGATAAAGTGCCTTTCCAGCTCTGACTTTCCTATTCTCTGAGTATTTAGTCTCCTGCTTGCTGAAGCTCTTTTTGGACTGGCCAGGTTATTGTTTTCCTTCTCCCCTCAGGAGAAGGAAAAGCACGTTCAGTCCAAGCAGAGAGGCTTAGCTCAGCACCTGCCTTCCTTAGCTGAGGAGCCCAATTGCTCGTCATGTCAGGGTTTGGCATGGAAACAGCGCTCGGCTCACTCAGAGACAGCCTTGAGCAAACAAGCTCTCCATTCACCACCAGCTCGCTGCTGACACTGGGTGAGGAGCTGCAGGGAGGGAAGGGACAGTTAAGGGAAGGACGTGCCTTTTGTCAGGGCTCCATGTGTGAAATACAGAGCCCAGCAAGTACTGTGGACCAGAGACACCCTGGAAAGCCTAATGCAGGGGAGATTTGTGTTTCTTTCAGGATTACTCCATATCTGGAAAAATTTTCTGGAAGTGTGGACTGACAGGGTCATCCCCTTGAATTAGGTCCTTGGAAGGGAAGATGATTTGGTGGAAGTGAATGGGGACCTTTTTCACACCTCAAAAAAATCTCTTTGGGCTCTGAAATTCCTTTTCTATTGAAATTAAAACTGAGGATGCCAAAGGAAAGGACTCCCAACCTTAACTATTTTCGGGAGGCCAGAGACACTCCAGAGACTTTTCTCATGGATGTGATTTTCTGTAGCATCACAACTTTCTTCACTGATGTCTAATATTACAGTGTTTGGGGGTTTTTTGTTTGGTTGGGTTTTTGCTATTTGTTTGTTTGTTTGATTGTTTGTTTGTTTTGTAGGTGCCATTCCAAGTTCTGGAAACCCTAGGGGAGACCTGAGCTTTACATGGACTCATTGGACATCACACAGGTGAGCCAAACAGACGCCACAAATATATATCAAATTTTATGCTGAAGGAATCTCATCTCATAAGCCCCATAAAAACAGTTGAACAACTACCTCTTAAGGCCATTCCTACAGGCTATTGTATAAATGTTTCCTGCTTTAGAGCATCTCAGCTTTGACAGACTGGTATTGCTTAGATTTTCCTAATTTTCAGGTGCCTTGGGCTGTGACACACTGTCCTGACAGAAGCCCATCTCATGGGGTCCTGCAGCACTGGGTGGTCCCATACACCACAAGTGGTTGCAATGAATAGGCAGAGTAGGAAGTGACTTGAAATTCTAAGTTCAAGGATGCTTCCTCTGATATTTTTTTCCAATTCTGTTCTAGTGACACAAATAACTTGTAGGAGAAAAGAGGAGGACATTGGCCACTCTAGGGATGAAGATCCCTACAAAAGGTGGCAGAAGCCAGAACAGTATGTTCATAAAAGGATGATCCTCTATAAGATGAAGACATAGATAGGAATCCATTTGGATGTTCCTCCTGCATACAAAGGAATTTAAAGAAGAAAAAAGGCAAACATTTGGAGCCTTACAAATACCAAATATGGATGGAGATACTCCTGGTAGAGCTGGAAAGCATTTGGAGAAGTGTCTGGGGTCCAGACCTCAAAGCCAGTTGCTCAGACTGTTGTTTAGCAATACAGTAAATCCAGCTTCAGGGTAGCTTCAGAAGCCTTATCAAAAATGCTAAAGAGTGCAACTAAAAGCATGGATTTGCTATAAACTGATTTTCCTGCTCAGGCAGCTGCAGGGGAGAAACTTGATCTCTAAGCAGGCGGGGTCTATTGCTGCCATTCTAACTTTGCCAAGTGCCATGTAGCAGCTCAAATGCCATGTCGCACATTTTGGCTAGTTTGGCAGAAAAAGCAGTGGGCACCAGTGCTCCATCTAGTTCGGATTGACTCTCCTGGTTGCTCTGGCAGCACATGCATAGTTAGGAGCTGGTGAGGATCCCTGGCCTCAGACTGACAGTGTGTTGGCATCCACTTGGATCTGTTCCTGATGCGGACAGCACCTGTTGCAAGAGGCTTGGGATCCTCTAACAGGTGCTGCCAGAATATGCCTGGTTCATGCAGCTGGAGAGCAGGAAGAAGACAGAGAGATAGGAAGAGATGGGAAATTGGCACTACTTCTTTCCTTAGGGGAAAAACCATAAATATATATATATATATATATATATATATATATATTTATATATATTTCTGCATTGAATGAGAGGAGGAGGTGGATGCTGAAAGCTGAGCCTAGTCCTGGTAACAAACCGTGGATAGCAGCTGGGAGGGACAACAC